AAAAAAAAAAAAAAAAAAAAAAAATATAACTATAAAAAGATAAAGTAGAACTAATTATAATTGTCGATGTTTCTATACTAAGAAAAATTGAAAATTGTACTGTTTAAAAAAGAAGAAATTTATTTATCAAATAGTTTGTAATGATATATTTAAATAATTGCAAAGTTAAATAGTAATAATTACTGAGTGGAAAATAAATTTTTTTATAATGATTAAAGTGTGAAGATGTTTACTCAGAGTATCATCAGGCCAAATACTAACTTGTGTGATTTAATAATTACAATTAATTGTATCTTTTATTTATCTGTGTAAAGAAATGGTATTTTATTTAATATGTTGGTCATTCCAAGCAGTATTTGTAAATAGCGATTGTAAATATAATTATATATATATATATATATATATATATATATATATATATATATATATATAATTATATTTACAATCGCTATTTACAAATACTGCTTGGAATGACCAACATATTAAATAAAATACCATTTCTTTACACAGATAAATAAAAGATACAATTAATTGTAATTATTAAATCACACAAGTTAGTATTTGGCCTGATGATACTCTGAGTAAACATCTTCACACTTTAATCATTATAAAAAAATTTATTTTCCACTCAGTAATTATTACTATTTAACTTTGCAATTATTTAAATATATCATTACAAACTATTTGATAAATAAATTTCTTCTTTTTTAAACAGTACAATTTTCAATTTTTCTTAGTATAGAAACATCGACAATTATAATTAGTTCTACTTTATCTTTTTATAGTTATATTTTTTTTTTTTTTTTTTTTTTTTTGAATATACGGTAGCTTATATTTATAATTGGTCGATGTAATTTTCAAGAAAGACCGAACAAGATGATTTAATTTTTGATTTTTTTTACAAGTATTGAAATTACAAAATTCGGCAGTGCCATAAATATATCAACACTATTAAATATTTGATTTAATTTTTGAATTATATAATTCATAAACGACAAAAAAATTCTTTGAGATTATCGAACAAATAAATTGTGCAGTAATAGGTAAAACTTGTAAATATATTCATAGATTAATATACAATACATTTATATTTATAGTTTATGGATTATCACGTTAATTAACTAATAAATTTTATGTGAAAGGTTTTAAAATATTTTTTCGTCAATGGCAAACTGTTGAACATTATTTGTTGCGCTTTAAAATATTTTTTTTTAAATAAAAATAATTAAAAGATAAATCGACTTCAGTCTCATGTTAATTTTAAAAATTATTTTCGATTGTTACAGTATAATTTATTTTAAATATACGGTGCAAGCGTGTGCCATTCCACAGACAGTATGCTGACTAGAAACTAATTAATATATTTACTTAATTATATCTATTCACATCTATGTAATTTTATAAATTACTAAATGAATATATACATTTATAAGATTTAAAATAAAACTTTTTAATAATTTATAATTTTGAATTATATTTCCAAAGTTTTATTTTTTTCTACTTTTTATTTGTTATAAAAAAATGACTACAGCCCTTTGAGATTACAAAAATTAAATCTAAACAATATATCAATTAGTTTATTAATATTTACGTTAATAAATAATAAATAAAAAATTATTGGCAGATTATTAACTGCCAAAGTGGAGTATATTTGTTTTTCCTACAATACTTTGGCAGCAGAGTGTATTAAATAATAAATTTACATTCACATTCAATCTACATTAACAGATATTAATATTTAATATAACGGTATACATAAATTCAACTACTTATTGTTAATATTAAATATCAATTGAAATATTTATTTCGAATAAACTCCGGTTTAATTTTTATTATTATTAATAATTAATATTTTATATATGACATTTATGATACAAGCATCGCATGATAAAACATGGTAATTATTACAATTAATTAGTCATTTATATTTATATATTTATATATTTATATACTTTCTAACAATCAACGGTTATTAAGACATTCAACAAAACAATCTTCTCAGGATTGTAACTCATCCACAACAATCATATTCTCTTTATTTTATTTTCTTAAAGTATCAAACATTTTGACAAAAACATTTATCTTTATCTCAATAATTATCATATCAGTATTTTTCTAAATTCGGTACTATGTCTATATTTAATATTTATTTTTTTTTTTTTTTTAATATATTTATATTATTGTAATATAAAAAAAGAAAATTACGTTGTGGTTTATTTAATTTAAATACGTACAATGGACAGATAATTTATATTTATTACTCGTTGATGATTTTATAAATCATTATTTTTTATTTTTTTTTTTTTTTTAATATCACGAATAAAAAATTGCATTACCCAGTCCCTCTGCATAAGTTATTTAATTTCTAATTACTCATTTTTACTCATCTGATTAATAATAATGCGTACAAAACGATTATTTATGTTTCAGTCTTTTTGAGACGTCCTTTATTGGACTGTGATTGAAAATCTATTCAACTAATTGTGGATTTTAAAATTACGTCTTTTTAAATGAAATATTTACTGGAAGCGAGTTCAATAAATTAATAAATCTTGTAAATATTAATCGAAATAAATTTTTTTTCCCTTAATAAAAATCACTCGTTTTAATTGTACAATTATAATGGCAATGGTTTTTATAAAAAAAAATTATTAAAAGAGAATCTTAAATGGGTTAATTAGAGAGGGTACTGGCACAGGAGTTATAAAAAAATAAAACTAAAATTAATTTAAAAAATACAACCATTATCATACACGCTTATTTACAGCTTACTAATTTTACATTAATAATAAAAATAATAATAATAATAATATCATACGACATAAAATCTTTATAATAATTTACCTAATATCTTTGGCAACTGTTTTTTTTTTTCTTTTTCTTTTTCTTTCAACAGATGGTCCGTAATTTATTTACAGAATAAAGCATTTGTTATATTTATTTAAAAGACAAAGACTTGATTGAATAATTAAAATTTAAGTTAGTTGTTTTTTGAAAAGACTAGTGGATGGCTTCAATACGTGCTGTTGGTTGTCAATTTAAAATTTAAAATTTAAAATTTATAATTTATAATTTATAATTGTTTTAGGCGAATTAGACCGATTGTACAATTAAATTTGATTAATAATCTAAATCGGTTGGTATTAAATAGATTATTCTAAATACATTCGCCAAAATCAAATCGAGATTGACCAGTCATAGAGACATTATTATTTTTTTTATGAGTTACTCTCATAGTTGTATAGTAGCCATGCCAGCTATACCCAAATTGATTATTGGAATAATTTATTTGCGTTGGATCAACAGTGTTAGTATTTATATTAATGTCGTTATTATATAAATTGACAGGATGTCCCAACAAGGTACCATCAGACAGAGTTATATTTTGAGCGTGAGACGCGGAATGCCTCCATCATTGAGGAATAATAGCACATGTTGATTCCATACCTTCGGGTGGTATTCGCATATTACCATTTGTAATATAACCATTTGGATCAGTGATTGGCAGACCAGGAGCGACACCTCCTACCGAAACTACTCCAGGACACCCTGGTACACCAGGATGATTGACGTAATTCTGATTACGCAGCGGTAATCCTGCATTGTCTGATAATATATGGTGATCGCCGTAATCTGCACATCCATCGATTGTTGGACATCCACGCTCGTTGTTGATATGACTTAGATGATTTTGATTATTAACATAATCTGTTGCATATTCCACCGGCATTTCAACTGACGCGTACTCATGAATACCAACAACATTTTTTACCGGTAATTGTCCTACAATATGCTGCTCCCCGCCAATTGTTGGTAATATCGTTGTTGATTTAAAATTAATACTCTCGTTTGGATTTATACAATTAACATGACCGTTTGTCATTGTGTACAAGTCCGGTTCAACTCGGATTTTTGATGTTAATACTGATTCTAAACACTTGTACACCAGTACGTAATCCTCCTATTAAAAAAAAAAAATTTTTATTCATATTAATAACTATAAATTTAATTTTTATTTTGGTAAATATTTACAAGTGGGTATTTTATGTACTTTTCGAAAAAAAAATATATATATAAAAAAAAAGATAAAATAGAAATTTTATCCAAAAATATGAGCCAAAATTTTTTCCAACTTTTAAAAGCAAAAAAATTTTGAAAATGTTCATTTTTCACCTAATTATAGCCCAAAATAAGGTTGACCCCATTTGTAAATAATTACCTTTACTTCTATAAAATTTATTTTTAATAAAAACCTTTGATCTAAATATTCCAGGTCTCTTCATGTAAAGTAATTTAGCAAACATATAAATATCAGCACTTTTTTCAAATTCTATTTGCTTCATCAGTGTCGTTAACAAAATAAATAATGCTGCCTCAATACCACCATACCTAAATAAAATAAAATAAAATAAAATAAAATAAAATAAAATATAATAAAATATTATTAATATTAAAAATAAATATCTCTAATATTATTAAGTTAAAAATTACCTGTCCATAACAACAATAGGCCCGTTTTGATATTCTTTATGAAAATCTTGTATCATACCAACAAACGCCTTGGGATTGTCATTGTGTGGCCACAAGCCATTATGATTAACAGGTCCTTGTACAATACGTGCGCTTAATTCATAATCATCCTGAAGCGAGCGAATAACAACCTCTCTCAAAACAACACCGCTGACTGTTTTTTTAATAGCACAAAGTTGAACGCGAAAATTGTCAGTTTTCAATTCTTCCCCTTCGTTCGGCCAAAATTCTGGATAGTCATTGTCGTCGCACTGCGTCAACATCACAATAGTTTTAGCATTATGATCCCAGAGCATTTGCCAAAATTCTTTTATTGTTGTGTTCAGCGGATGTTGGGTAAGAATAAATTCACGATTTTTATGAAAGCCAGCAAACCAAGTAGCATTTATGTAATCACTGCCATCAATTCCAGCCTTTGGCGTAAGATGTACCCGTGAATTTTCAATAGGAACAATCTCTTGATTCCGATTTTTGTGTTGATTGAATGCTTTGCTAGAGGATACTAAATTAAAGTCCTTGGGCTTCCAAGAAGTGACTAATTTATACTGCATCTCAATATTGTTCCACGGATCGGTTTTATTATTATCAGGAGACAGCATCTCCTGTACATGCTGTAGAAGATTATCAATAGGAATGTTTGTCTCTCCGCTGTCGATGGCTTCCTGCAGAGCATCGTGAATAAATATATACTGCTCTTCAGTTTGCACCAATGAATAACGCTGAGTACGTATGTGTTTTAAAAACCCGAAAACGTTTATCTCTCCCTTTGATTTAGCTTGTTTAAGCATCGCGTCAATAACTATATACGCCCCGGTGCGTCCAACTCCGGCGCTGCAGTGGACAATAATTGGACCAGCTGACGGCGGATTAGCGCTAGATGACTTTCTGATGAAACTTAAAACGGGAAGTGGATGGTCCGGAACACCGTGGTCTGGCCAACCGGTGTAGTGATACTGATAAACAGTACGCTCTCCAATGTTGCTGCCGTTCTTTTTCTTCTTTATCTTCATGTGTCTGATGTGCAGAGTCCTTATTGTGTATGTCGCCATGACGTCTTCTTTTATCAACGTTACTTGGACATTGCCGTAGGTCTCAGTCCCCTCTTTAGGCCAGTACATGTCACATTTAGGTCTACCACGCTCCACTAAATTTGTTATCATAACGATTATTGATACGCGTTGCTCCCACACCATTCGCCAAAAGCTGTCGATCGTTGCGGGCAATGGTCCTTGCGTTCCAATATATGCGCGAGCACGTTGCCATCCATCGATATAATTTGCATTTATATAATCTTGTCCTTTATTTGACGGACTTCCATTGCAAGGTAATAATCTCACTCGTGAATGATCATCTTTTAAATAAAAATTAAAATTGTTATTTATTTATTTTAATAATAAAAATTAGCAACCTTGCAGTCACTATGTGACTTTCGTAACTTGTGAATTATAAATAAACAAAATTTTGCTTTATTAAATAATTGCTTTTGTTAAATTCCACTGTACTTTTTTTTAACTATTAATGTTTTTAAAGATATAAGCTCATCCTGATGTTACACTCATCAAGAGCTTTCATTTGAGTACCCACATGCATTTTTGATATATACATATATATAATAAATATAAATATATAAAATATATGGAAAATTGATGTGGGTACTCAAATGAAAGGTCTTGATGAGTGTAACGTCGGAATGAGCTTATATCTTTAAAAATGTCAATAGTTTACGAGATACAAGGTCATTAACCATAAAAACTCATTTTATAATATAAATACACTAACTACAAAATTTTGTTTATTCTTTTAATAATATAAATTATAAACTTACATGCAATAATATTTCCGTAGCGATTTTTGGACTGATTTTCAACAGATTTAGAATTGTCAGCTATATAAAGTTCTGTCTCTTTTGGAAATAATTCAAACTCTTTACTGAAACCAATGTCACCATCGGCATGTAATGCCGCTACATGCTGAACATATTGTGAAACAGGAACAGCTGTCCTTTCACCATCTTGTTTACTATTTTCCCATTCCTGATGCGTTTGCACATTACGCGGCGGATAATCCAAAAAGCAGTAGGCTGTTTGGAAACATTTCCTGAAAATACGCCTGTTAAGGCGCTTTGATTAATATATAATAAAAAAATTATTATAAGCTGTCTCATTGCTATTTAAAACTCGTCGATAAAACAAGTAATTATTAGAAAAAAAAAAAAAAAAATTCTCACTGAGATTAGATACAGTGTCAATAAACTGTACGATAAATTAACTTTTATCTAATTATTATTATTATTATTATTATTATTATTATTATTATTATAAGTAATTAAAATAAGAACACATTAAAAAAATCGAGAGAAATCAGTTCAATAAATTTATGTAATAAAAATACTACAGATTTTATTTAATTGATCGCTTCTGACAATTATATAAACAAGAACAACAAAAAATGAATAAAATCTAAATAATAAACAGACTTTCTTTAGAAATTACACTCATTGTATATCTTATCTGTCTCAAGTTTTTTATTTTTAAATTCTTGGATAAAATAGAAATGATAAAGATGCTTTAATAGATTTATTTTTACAAATTTAATAATAAAAAAAAAAAATCTTACGAAATTGTTTTTGATAAATTTTCCATATCAAGGATATTTATTTTAATTTAAATCAAAGTAGATGTATTAATAATGAATAGGTACGTTAACTATGACACACTGAAATTAACTGAAGATTAAACTGACCATAAACGTTTCGGTATATGAAATGGATAATATTACATATCGTTATCACAAAGATACTGATAAGAAAGTCATATTATCTACTTCTATATAATTTTTTAGTCGATAAATTTAAAGTACAGAGTAGAGTGATAAGCCCGCAAGTAACTTTAATTACCGATGAGTTGTTTAATTGACGAGCTAATGAAATGAGCTTATGAGTAATGATTAATGAGTGTAAAATGTGATGAATTACTAGAGTGATTTATTATAATAATAATAATAATAATAATTATGACGAAAAGTTATGAGATAAATAAATAACTGGTGACAATAGATTCTCACCTCCACAATATTAAAGCTGTAATAGCCAACATAACGGCGATACAAGCACAAATCATACCCGCAATTACGCCGGTACTCAATTCTTCAGAGCTACGCCGCATTAATGGTGGTGTTTTATCACAATTACGTTCCACTCGTTGCGTTTTTGGTTGACTACAGTTGCCACGTACTACGTGATGCTGATTTATTGTGCTATTGGTACCAGCGCAGACCATTATTTCGTAAATGGTATTCATAGTAAGGTTTGGTATTATTATCTGGATTGGAAAATAAGAAAAAAATAGGTTTTTTTTTTTTTTTTTTTTATTAAAATTTCAATCACGGTGCATTTTGTTCGATATAAATCATGCCGTATTTATTTACACGAAAAAAAAAAAAAATAGGGAACAAGTTTGAAATTTTATTAAACGATGGAAAAAAACATTATTAAATATTTCAGTGCAATCGGTTCAGCAGTTATTTCAATATCACGAAGAATTTTATCGAAATAATATTTTTAAATCACCTGGCTTGTAAATGCAATAAAACGATTGTATTTTATTAATATATCGAAATGAAAAATGAAAAGAGAGAAATTTTTAGAGAGAAAACAGCTAAATAATGCTAAATATTTACCCCACTGTTGAGATGCTCTTTGGTGGTAGGAATTTCAATTTCGTCATACTTTTTATATTGGTCATTACGATACATTATGTAATAATAGTCAATTGAATTCCAAAAAGTTTGAGGACGTGCCCAGTAGACGTAAATAGCGTCGTGAGCTTGGCAAGTTAAATTTAGTATTACAGGAGCACTTGGTCCTGCAACATCAGTCTTTTGAATAATGTGATCAGATGGTTCGCCCTCGTTCTTCCACGTAAATGCCTTAACCCATATTTTGTATTCAGTCATTGGTTCTGCAAAAAATAAAAAATAAATAAATAAAAAAAATATTTAAAACAGTGTTCAATTACAAGTCATATAACTGAGATTGCAATGCGAATCTTTAAAAACTTAGTGATGGTTTTATTTGTTAATGTAAACAATGACGCATATTGAGCATGCCACGTGCATTAGTAATATCGTTATAACGAGTGTGTAAATTCAACTTGAATTTAAATTAATCCAATAAAAACTATTGTGTATCTATTTTGATAAAATATTGCCAATTTATATTCAATTGGTCGGATAATAATGACATTTATTACTTATTAATTATTACTCACTTAGATCATTGAGAAGAAAATCAATGGTTTCGTTGTTCTTTTTCAATGTTTTGACTTCTGTAAAATTCGAGTGCATGTAAAACACACGATACCCAAGGATTATTCCATTTTTATGCTGTGGCTCTGACCATGACAGCTCTACGGAGGATGAATTTATTCCATAGGCCGTTAATCTCAATGGTGTACTTGGAACTGAAATTTTAAATTCGAAATTAAATATTATCTTGTCTACTACGGATTTATTATTTCTTATATACATCTCAATCTTTTTCTCACTGAGTAAACCCTCCAAGGTCTTTAGCAGTGACTCAAAAGATGAATACTCAGTCTTTTTTTTTTTTTTATTTTAAAGCGATACACATTAAAGACATCTCTTTTTATATAAATGTACATCTTAATATTTATTACTTCATTAATACGTTTTATTTACCATTTTTTTCTTTTGAAAAGTTTATTTACGAATGATAATTACGGTAATTAATAACACTAAATAATGTAATTACATGAAGATGTTTATTTTGCAAATTTATTATTTTTTCTGGTTGCGTTATTATTACTCATTCGTGAATATTTAAAAACTTGTTAACCTTGAACTAGTATTGTAATCATTACAAATCATTAATGCAAAACGCAATATGATTACATACACATACAGATATTTTATTATCATCTCATGAGTCGCGTGGTTACAAGTTCAAGTTTAGTTTTTTTTTTTTTTATTTATTTATTTTAACTTATCTAAGATTTTTAAAATAGAATCAGGAAAATTTTTTTTTTTGGATTTTTAGTTCTTTAAATAATAAAAATTTGCAAGAAAAATTATTTTTAAAAAATAAAATCAAGAGAGTAAACAACGGGTTGAAAAATTTAAAGCTAGTCAAGTATTGATTTTATTCAAGGTTCAGCCATTTTCGTGTACGGATAAATCTAAAGTTTAGGAATAGTACCCAAGCTGGTACATTTAAATTACTCTAAATAATCGATTAAATCCTGCAAATAAATTAAAAAAAAAAAAATAAATAATATTGAATTACCTTTGCCGTCATCGTTATCATCATTATTATTATTATCAATAATAGTAGTAGCTTCATAATTGTCATTGAGAGTTTTAGCAATTGAAATAATAGAAAAAAATATGAAAAATTTAAATAAACTAAGTGGGTATGGTTGAGAACCTCGGTTTATCATTATTATTGGTCTTCTCGACATTTTAGTAATTCCCCTCAAGAATTTTGCGGGGCAGCTGCGAGCTACGAGCTGTGAGCTGCCAGTTAGTGTGTTTTAGAACCAAATTCGTTTTGTATGCCTAAAAATAATCATAAATTTATCCTTGACCGTCCAGGAAGTCGTAACATTTTTTCTTTTCCATTTATATTTTATAAATACGTCTAATTACTCCCTTGTATTTTTTTTTTTTTTTTTTTTTTTTTCTTACTATTTCCTTTTTCTCGGATATCTTTTTATTTTTATTAATATATAAACACACCAGCAAGTACAAGAATAAGAAGCAAGATATTATAATATTATAATATTATCAATAGGATATCCGGTACATCTAAAATCTTGACCGTGTTTTATTAAACAAAACAATTAATAACGTTGATGCTAAATGAAAGTTTAGTAGATATTGGATGTATTTTATTCAGCTTCACCAGGATTACATTTAACAAGTACCCTCAATCACTTCCTGTTCTCATTAATTCAACTACCAACTGTACTAGATTTTCTGTATTCTCTCTTTACTCTGGTCTCTGCTCCAATCTAACAGCCAATGCCCCTCCTTTTATCTTTAAATCTACACTCCAGTACAATATTTTTTCCACATATATGTTCATATATGTTCACCAGCAAATTAAATAAAAAATAAAAAATAAAAAAATCCACCTCCGATCGAAAGTGTTAATTTAAAATAATAATAAATACACAGCTACACCCATCGCTCTTTATCCCACTGATTGTCTTTTTAAAATAATCAGATAAATTAATTCACAGTGTAAAAATAAATTATAATTATTAATGTTGTAAAATAGATAAAAAATCTTGAAAATAAAAACAATGAGACGCACAGAACAAGATTGAGTTTAAAAACAGTGTCACCGATGACAAGTGACCAAGTGACAGAAAGGCGAACAGTCTGGACATATGTACACACACACGTGCAGTGCCGTATCACTGATAAATATCTTATCGACTATTTTAATAATTACTCCAAATCAAACAAATATTTACTCAATTAGTCTGTTTTTTTTTTTTTAATAAACAAATAATCCATAAATAATAATAAAATGCTAAAAAGGAGTTGTCGAGTCACTGAGTCTAGACCGCACAGTATTTTAAAATAAACGGGGAGTATTTTAAGTAATATATTTGTTTTTTGAGTACTTAAAGTTTATTTAATAAACATTTTTATCCGTTAATAATAATTATTTTGGCGTGGTTAATATTGAGACATGTGCGAGTACACTGACGCTATGCGCGGATACTTTTTCCTATCCCCTTAACTTAAAAATTGAACGTACATAGGTATAGTCTATCCGAGCACAACACACGGAGCACACGGCCAATACAACGACAGCTCCGACTGTGGTAATCGACCGGCGCACAAAACTCGCACACAATGTAGATTAGCGCACACTTACTGTTAAATGCAGTACTCATACTATTGTACCTCGAGCGCGGGCGCACATCTCGATACTAATACTCCTTAAATAATTATTTTAATATTTTTAATTTTATTTAGAAATTCAAAAATTTAATTCAAAAAATTGTTCATCAATTATTGAGCTGTTTTTTACTCTAAAAATTAAAATATAGATTATGCTGAACCCAGGATAACAGAGTTGTGGGCTGTTGTAGGATATTATAATATATATTATATATTTTATAGGGAGTAAGCTGTTTAGTTGGAGCTGTTGGAAGTTGTTCCAGTGGGAACAATGAGGTGGGTCGTGAGACTGGAAATAAAGGTTCAATGGTTGGTTGTTGGGATTATTGTTTAGTTGGGTATACCTATACCATCTATACCTCACCCGTAGGATATAGATATATATATATATATATATATATATATATATATAAATATAATATAGTTGTAGACAACACCAGTGAAAAGAAAATCCGAGAAAGGACATGGTTGTTCAGTAACGTACTTGCCATTTCATCGCCCACCATCTTTTCATTTCATTTATCTTAAATTCATTATTTTTTTACTCCACAAAAGTTATTGTCATTACTTTAATTGAATGTTACGTCTGCAGTTTCTTTTATAATTAGTTAATTAATTTAATTTTTTTTATAAATAAACTCTTAAAGTCGATAACTTTAATTAAATATAATATTAATTCTTTAATCTTTTTAGATTGCGGATGCACTTTCAATTAAATTAAGCTTTCAATATCTTAATTAATTTTAAAGAGATCTCGATAATTTTATCGACAAATTAAGTGGAAAATATAAATAATTAAAGATACTTTCTCAAAGAAATCTCAAGTAATTTTTTTCTTGATAAATTGTGTCCTATTTATTTGATTCGTAATGATTCATCAATTTGAAAGTAAAATTAAATATAAATTATAATTTTGTGTTAAATGCAGTGACGACGGTCGGTATGATTTGTTATCAGCAACCAGCAAATAACTATATATATATATATATATATATAATTGAAGAGCAGCAGGAGGGACTATCGACGTTGAATTGAATTTACCGACAGAGGATAGTGAAATTACTAACCTACCGTACGGGAGAATGATTTTGTTGGGATAGAATTAAATTGAATATAGTTTATTCAGTGACCTCCAGTTCACCTCGAGGTCACTACCCCCGTATTGATGCGTTGTTTACTCAGAGATTTATTAAGCCACAGTGACTTTAGCGGTAGACAGAAATAATAAAGTAGTAGTAGTAATCGATTAGTAGATTAAAAAAAAAACAACAAATATGCAATTGTGGTATGGAAGAGGAAGGTAAATAATAGTTGGCAAAAATTCGGTTGAAAAATAAAAATAACAAATATATAGAGTACCACCCACCTCCTTCATCGGTCATAACGGTAACAGATGTATTGGGACCGGTACCTTCGGGATTAAATACTTGCAACCATACAGTATACTGTGTATACGTTTCCAGGTTTTGAATAATATGTCTCTGAAATTGAAATTCAGTGGATCCACGTTAATCGTTGAGAATTCAACATCACACAGAAATTTCAATGAATATATTGCTTTGAAGCTTACCTCTATTTTTCGATTGCGTATGTAAATCTCTTTGATGTCACTTCCTTTTCGCCTGGGGCGATAGGATATACGATAACCGAGAAATTCACCATTTAGTGTATCCAGACTCGGTGGTTTCCATGTAATCAGGATGGCCGTCGCTGAAATGTTTTGAGCTGTTACGATGGTCGGTTTTCCAGCTGGAGCTAAATTTTAAACAATAATTGCTTCATTAATTAAAATAAATAAATAAAATAGCTGCGGTTAATACCAATAATTAAAGCTCTTGTATTTTGATAAAATGCTATTTAAAAATCGAGAGTTTGACGCTTCAAATATCTATAACTGTATTAACAAAACACATTGGTATTGTGTTGATATATATGTGTGTATAAACAGAACAGAGATGTACATAGAAATTTACACAGTATTCGCGATGTACGAACAGACAATATGTCAATATTGACAAAGAGGAAATGGGTTTCGTTGTATGAATCGTGTTACTTGTAGATGAAGTATGTTGCTCTATTGATATAGCGTCTAATTATAGAGGTCACCACTACCGAAACTATCCGTCTAAATCAAATGACAGTATATCACTGTTCTCTGTCAATACACCGACAATACCACCATTGAGATACTCAATCATTACAATTGTTACAGTAAACTGCTTTTCTTTTCACTTGTTATTGAGAAAAAAAAAAAAAGAATCGAGTGATTTTGTAAAACCAAAGACTGGTAAGACGAACTTAAATAGTATTGGACTTGTAATCTGTTTATTTTAACTAAGCAGAGCTCTTGATCCCAATTGGATTTAAAAAAATTCAAAGTGCCAGCTTTTATCCCGAATACATTGATTTTTTAAATCACTTTATATCTAGATAAATAATATAAAAGGTATAGAGGTGTGAAATTTTTAATAAGCTTTTTTTCTCCAAATTGACAAGATAAAATTTGATGAAAAGATAAATTATTTATATAATACCTTCTCGTAATGTTGTTATGTAATGAGACGAAACGCTCGGAGCACTGCGTCCTCGTGCATTAACAGCAGTTACTCGGAAACTATAAGACGTAAACGGCAACAGATTGTCCATATAATATTTAGTGTCATTATTTGAAGTTATTATTTCTTGATGATCCCAAGGACCATTTTCACCGACTCTGAAATAAAATATTTATAATTAATTTGTTGAATAGTTTATCAAGTAATATAACGAATACTTGTTGTTGTTGTTAAGTTAAGTAGACGATTTAATAAACATGGAATATAAATAGTTGTTGACGGGTATATAATCTAATTAACTTTATCAAAAGTTAATGAGTGTAATTAATTGCGCCCATTCGTCAGATCAAGTTCTGACGTTACGATTGCTCTGCTTACTTGGGTTTGCCGCTAAATTAATAGTTGCGGTTTAAATTTCCTTTAACAAACTTTCTTAGCGTATCACACTCCAACAGCAACTGCCACTGCTGGGTTAAATAATATTTGTCAGTTTACTCATTCTTACTTGTTTGTAGATACAGATAAAAACTAAAAACTAAAAAAGAAAAATTATATATATATATAAAAAAAAACATAGTAAAAGAAAACAGGTAAAATAAAAATAAATAGTTAAATATTAGCATGAATTGGTGAATGTCGCTGCTTATCAGTGGAACATGCACGATATAAATAATGGAGGGCACGTACACCGTATTCTTTCTACTATGGGTTATAAGTACAATTCACGATAAAGCTTGTGCTAGTAGAGAAAATGTGTCTCGTTTCGTACCCGTTATATTATTAGTATTATTACAAAATCCACCTACACCTTTAATTGCTCCTTCCGTTTCGGTTTAACTTTTATTTTACTATCACTGTAATTATAATTATCATTATTATTACATATTAATAATTTTTAAAAGTCATCTAAAGTTCATATAACCAGTCTTTATAAAAAATTAATTTATTTTATGTTTTATTCTGAAAATTTTAAACTATTTAGATCAATATCATTGAAAAAAACATCACAGTAGTGATTTATAATTCTGATTATGAATTGTTTATAGATATGCTTTAGAATGGAATCATAACACTAGGTTATTTAGCTAAAAAAGAAAACTGATAATTAAAAAATAATAATTTAACCTGCGCTTAACTTTATTTAGCCATTCAAGTGGTAGAGTCATCGAATAGTCAGACATGAATAAATCCATAAATACATAATAAATTCGAATGGTTTAGAGTCAATATTAAGAAATATATTTCTATTTCTATTTCTATTTTATTTTATTTTATTACAAAAGTAATATGGTTGAATTGGTCGTATGCCCATTTTTCAATTCTCTAGATATTCGTTTCCCTCGGGGAGACAATTACGCGCGCGAACTTCATAGTCAGCTCGTTTTAAAATTTATATGCCTCGGCGCTTTTGCACCTTTACAGCATTTCCCGCGGGCTATTTTACAATTGTATGAATAAAAAGGAACCTACCAGATGTGTTTATATCTATATATGTACATATAAAACTTTTCGGTTGAAAAATTAAAAAAATTAGTAATAAAGTAAGATTATAAAAACTATTTTTAAAGAAAAATCTTCCTTTATTCTTCCGCCTAAATAATATTTAAGAAAAGTTTACGATATAAGTGTGTTATGAAAAGTACATTAACGGAGTTTTAGAAATCTAATTTTATTGGGGAATAAAAATGAAAGTAAATGAAAGTACGGGAAAAAGGTAAAAAGGTAGAAAGGTAAAACGGTAAAAAGGTAAAAGGTGGGTCTTATGGGATTTGTTTTTAGTGGTGTGTATAGGTAATTGAGATTCGCCATACCAACTACCAATAATCATTTATAGATAACAGCATATTGAACACCATACGCAGGGGACCGTCAGTTTTGCGGCTAATTTAGAGCATGATGGTCACCCCTTGAACGATATAGGTCACTTAGCTGACCACATTGCGAGAATAAACCGCAATTTGTACTAAATATCTCTCTCTCTCTCTCTCTCTCTCTCTCTCTCTCTCTCTCTCTCTCTCTCTCTCTCTCTCTCTCTCTCTCTCTCTCTCTCTCTCTCTCTCTCTCTCTCTCTCTCTCTCTCTCTCTCTCTCTCTCTCTCTCTCTCTCTCTCTCTCTCTCTCTCTCTCTCTCTCTCTCTCTCTCTCTCTCTCTCTCTCTCTCTCTCTCTCTCTCTCTCTCTCTCTCTCTCTCTCTCTCTCTCTCTCTCTCTCTCTCTCTCTCTCTCTCTCTCTCTCTCTCTCTCTCTCTCTCTCTCTCTCTCTCTCTCTCTCTCTCTCTCTCTCTCTCTCTCTCTCTCTCTCTCTCTCTCTCTCTCTCTCTCTCTCTCTCTCTCTCTCTCTCTCTCTCTCTCTCTCTCTCTCTCTCTCTCTCTCTCTCTCTCTCTCTCTCTCTCTCTCTCTCTCTCTCTCTCTCTCTCTCTCTCTCTCTCTCTCTCTCTCTCTCTCTCTCTCTCTCTCTCTCTCTCTCTCTCTCTCTCTCTCTCTCTCTCTCTCTCTCTCTCTCTCTCTCTCTCTCTCTCTCTCTCTCTCTCTCTCTCTCTCTCTCTCTCTCTCTCTCTCTCTCTCTCTCTCTCTCTCTCTCTCTCTCTCTCTCTCTCTCTCTCTCTCTCTCTCTCTCTCTCTCTCTCTCTCTCTCTCTCTCTCTCTCTCTCTCTCTCTCTCTCTCTCTCTCTCTCTCTCTCTCTCTCTCTCTCTCTCTCTCTCTCTCTCTCTCTCTCTCTCTCTCTCTCTCTCTCTCTCTCTCTCTCTCTCTCTCTCTCTCTCTCTCTCTCTCTCTCTCTCTCTCTCTCTCTCTCTCTCTCTCTCTCTCTCTCTCTCTCTCTCTCTCTCTCTCTCTCTCTCTCTCTCTCTCTCTCTCTCTCTCTCTCTCTCTCTCTCTCTCTCTCTCTCTCTCTCTCTCTCTCTCTCTCTCTCTCTCTCTCTCTCTCTCTCTCTCTCTCTCTCTCTCTCTCTCTCTCTCTCTCTCTCTCTCTCTCTCTCTCTCTCTCTCTCTCTCTCTCTCTCTCTCTCTCTCTCTCTCTCTCTCTCTCTCTCTCTCTCTCTCTCTCTCTCTCTCTCTCTCTCTCTCTCTCTCTCTCTCTCTCTCTCTCTCTCTCTCTCTCTCTCTCTCTCTCTCTCTCTCTCTCTCTCTCTCTCTCTCTCTCTCTCTCTCTCTCTCTCTCTCTCTCTCTCTCTCTCTCTCTCTCTCTCTCTCTCTCTCTCTCTCTCTCTCTCTCTCTCTCTCTCTCTCTCTCTCTCTCTCTCTCTCTCTCTCTCTCTCTCTCTCTCTCTCTCTCTCTCTCTCTCTCTCTCTCTCTCTCTCTCTCTCTCTCTCTCTCTCTCTCTCTCTCTCTCTCTCTCTCTCTCTCTCTCTCTCTCTCTCTCTCTCTCTCTCTCTCTCTCTCTCTCTCTCTCTCTCTCTCTCTCTCTCTCTCTCTCTCTCTCTCTCTCTCTCTCTCTCTCTCTCTCTCTCTCTCTCTCTCTCTCTCTCTCTCTCTCTCTCTCTCTCTCTCTCTCTCTCTCTCTCTCTCTCTCTCTCTCTCTCTCTCTCTCTCTCTCTCTCTCTCTCTCTCTCTCTCTCTCTCTCTCTCTCTCTCTCTCTCTCTCTCTCTCTCTCTCTCTCTCTCTCTCTCTCTCTCTCTCTCTCTCTCTCTCTCTCTCTCTCTCTCTCTCTCTCTCTCTCTCTCTCTCTCTCTCTCTCTCTCTCTCTCTCTCTCTCTCTCTCTCTCTCTCTCTCTCTCTCTCTCTCTCTCTCTCTCTCTCTCTCTCTCTCTCTCTCTCTCTCTCTCTCTCTCTCTCTCTCTCTCTCTCTCTCTCTCTCTCTCTCTCTCTCTCTCTCTCTCTCTCTCTCTCTCTCTCTCTCTCTCTCTCTCTCTCTCTCTCTCTCTCTCTCTCTCTCTCTCTCTCTCTCTCTCTCTCTCTCTCTCTCTCTCTCTCTCTCTCTCTCTCTCTCTCTCTCTCTCTCTCTCTCTCTCTCTCTCTCTCTCTCTCTCTCTCTCTCTCTCTCTCTCTCTCTCTCTCTCTCTCTCTCTCTCTCTCTCTCTCTCTCTCTCTCTCTCTCTCTCTCTCTCTCTCTCTCTCTCTCTCTCTCTCTCTCTCTCTCTCTCTCTCTCTCTCTCTCTCTCTCTCTCTCTCTCTCTCTCTCTCTCTCTCTCTCTCTCTCTCTCTCTCTCTCTCTCTCTCTCTCTCTCTCTCTCTCTCTCTCTCTCTCTCTCTCTCTCTCTCTCTCTCTCTCTCTCTCTCTCTCTCTCTCTCTCTCTCTCTCTCTCTCTCTCTCTCTCTCTCTCTCTCTCTCTCTCTCTCTCTCTCTCTCTCTCTCTCTCTCTCTCTCTCTCTCTCTCTCTCTCTCTCTCTCTCTCTCTCTCTCTCTCTCTCTCTCTCTCTCTCTCTCTCTCTCTCTCTCTCTCTCTCTCTCTCTCTCTCTCTCTCTCTCTCTCTCTCTCTCTCTCTCTCTCTCTCTCTCTCTCTCTCTCTCTCTCTCTCTCTCTCTCTCTCTCTCTCTCTCTCTCTCTCTCTCTCTCTCTCTCTCTCTCTCTCTCTCTCTCTCTCTCTCTCTCTCTCTCTCTCTCTCTCTCTCTCTCTCTCTCTCTCTCTCTCTCTCTCTCTCTCTCTCTCTCTCTCTCTCTCTCTCTCTCTCTCTCTCTCTCTCTCTCTCTCTCTCTCTCTCTCTCTCTCTCTCTCTCTCTCTCTCTCTCTCTCTCTCTCTCTCTCTCTCTCTCTCTCTCTCTCTCTCTCTCTCTCTCTCTCTCTCTCTCTCTCTCTCTCTCTCTCTCTCTCTCTCTCTCTCTCTCTCTCTCTCTCTCTCTCTCTCTCTCTCTCTCTCTCTCTCTCTCTCTCTCTCTCTCTCTCTCTCTCTCTCTCTCTCTCTCTCTCTCTCTCTCTCTCTCTCTCTCTCTCTCTCTCTCTCTCTCTCTCTCTCTCTCTCTCTCTCTCTCTCTCTCTCTCTCTCTCTCTCTCTCTCTCTCTCTCTCTCTCTCTCTCTCTCTCTCTCTCTCTCTCTCTCTCTCTCTCTCTCTCTCTCTCTCTCTCTCTCTCTCTCTCTCTCTCTCTCTCTCTCTCTCTCTCTCTCTCTCTCTCTCTCTCTCTCTCTCTCTCTCTCTCTCTCTCTCTCTCTCTCTCTCTCTCTCTCTCTCTCTCTCTCTCTCTCTCTCTCTCTCTCTCTCTCTCTCTCTCTCTCTCTCTCTCTCTCTCTCTCTCTCTCTCTCTCTCTCTCTCTCTCTCTCTCTCTCTCTCTCTCTCTCTCTCTCTCTCTCTCTCTCTCTCTCTCTCTCTCTCTCTCTCTCTCTCTCTCTCTCTCTCTCTCTCTCTCTCTCTCTCTCTCTCTCTCTCTCTCTCTCTCTCTCTCTCTCTCTCTCTCTCTCTCTCTCTCTCTCTCTCTCTCTCTCTCTCTCTCTCTCTCTCTCTCTCTCTCTCTCTCTCTCTCTCTCTCTCTCTCTCTCTCTCTCTCTCTCTCTCTCTCTCTCTCTCTCTCTCTCTCTCTCTCTCTCTCTCTCTCTCTCTCTCTCTCTCTCTCTCTCTCTCTCTCTCTCTCTCTCTCTCTCTCTCTCTCTCTCTCTCTCTCTCTCTCTCTCTCTCTCTCTCTCTCTCTCTCTCTCTCTCTCTCTCTCTCTCTCTCTCTCTCTCTCTCTCTCTCTCTCTCTCTCTCTCTCTCTCTCTCTCTCTCTCTCTCTCTCTCTCTCTCTCTCTCTCTCTCTCTCTCTCTCTCTCTCTCTCTCTCTCTCTCTCTCTCTCTCTCTCTCTCTCTCTCTCTCTCTCTCTCTCTCTCTCTCTCTCTCTCTCTCTCTCTCTCTCTCTCTCTCTCTCTCTCTCTCTCTCTCTCTCTCTCTCTCTCTCTCTCTCTCTCTCTCTCTCTCTCTCTCTCTCTCTCTCTCTCTCTCTCTCTCTCTCTCTCTCTCTCTCTCTCTCTCTCTCTCTCTCTCTCTCTCTCTCTCTCTCTCTCTCTCTCTCTCTCTCTCTCTCTCTCTCTCTCTCTCTCTCTCTCTCTCTCTCTCTCTCTCTCTCTCTCTCTCTCTCTCTCTCTCTCTCTCTCTCTCTCTCTCTCTCTCTCTCTCTCTCTCTCTCTCTCTCTCTCTCTCTCTCTCTCTCTCTCTCTCTCTCTCTCTCTCTCTCTCTCTCTCTCTCTCTCTCTCTCTCTCTCTCTCTCTCTCTCTCTCTCTCTCTCTCTCTCTCTCTCTCTCTCTCTCTCTCTCTCTCTCTCTCTCTCTCTCTCTCTCTCTCTCTCTCTCTCTCTCTCTCTCTCTCTCTCTCTCTCTCTCTCTCTCTCTCTCTCTCTCTCTCTCTCTCTCTCTCTCTCTCTCTCTCTCTCTCTCTCTCTCTCTCTCATATATATATATATATATATATATATATATATATATATATATATATATATATATTCGTATAGGTTCAACAGAAGACTGAGAAGACTGAGAGATAATCCTCTGGAGAACTTGCCGTTGGAAGCTCAACCAGTCGGGGATAATCACCGTCAAGCTTACTATATCTTTTTCTTCTTTTCATCTGTTCTCTTTCTCTTTCTCTTTTACAGACCCTATAAGTGAGCGTGTATCTATAAGAGTACAATACACTTTATTTATATCAATGTTATTGGAAGTAAATTTATTGATATTTAATAATGATAATTATCAAGCAGAGTGTGAATGTATATCAATATATGGGCTTGTAGGGAAGAATTAGAAGCAGAAGAAAAAAAAGGATTAAGTGTAAAATCCATTGCGGTTGGATACTCAACATTAACTCGGGTGGGTGAGAGTACACGGTGGTTAAACAAATGTCTTTTTCACTTCCGCTTCATGTCGCAGAGCGTATAATTCGATTCAGTTGCCGAGTAGCCCACGTAGTATTCTCTCGGCATTTTGCCAAACAATTCCAACAAGTATATATCTGTAGAGAGTTCAGTGAGTGAGGCCCCTTCTGCGATTCCTTTATTGGCGCTGCTGAGCTTGGAGTTATTGTGGTTTTCATTCTACCATCACCACCATCGCCCATTCATACGTATCATCGGAGATTATTATTTACATCATTATTATTATTATTATTGTTGTTGCTAATATCAGATATTAACTGTTATCTGGTTGTATAGTTGATTGCTAAATTAAATGTCTGTATATATTGCGGGTGAATGTCTTGAGGTCAAAAAGAGTTAAAGGAAAAGAGAAAATAAGGAAAAAGAAAAAAGAAAAATAAAATAAAATTGTACAAAGCAAGAGTATCAAGAACAAGTGGAGAGAGAGTCGACAGCAGTATACTCCGGATAAATCCCCCTGTGGATTTGCTATCTCTATCATCGTTTCCCTTACGCGGTTGGGGTTAATCCCAGGAACTGTGTGCTGCTAGTGGTGCTACTGTAGTATTGCTTTGTTTATGGGAATGTGCTAAAATTTACTAGATCAGCCAACTGGCAATCGTTGAGATTACGCTTAAAAAAGTTAATTATAAAAATAGTAATTTACTAAAATCGTGTGAGATTGATCCCGGGCTCTGATAAATCCTTGAACCCTAGGTTAAAGATTTCATAATAATAATAATAATAATAATTGTTATTATTATTATTAAGAAAATTTAATTAAATTTTTGTATTTTCTTTCTTTTTCTTTCTGTGCAATAAAAAATTTTCTGTCTGAAGTAAACGGAGTGGTTTTAAATGTCGTAACTCTGTATTGCGAGGTTTCTAGGCGTGTTTTTAAGAAAAATACAAACGGCGAAACTCGCGAGGTATTTTAATTTTAAAGGTGCCAGTTCAATATGGATGAATGTGCTCTCGACGGTTAATCGACAAAGCTCGCTATCTCGGTGAATATTTTCAGAGTGACGGATCCATGCTATATAATTTAAGCGTTATGTGAAAAATTTTCCCTCGCCAGAAATAGTAAAAAAAAATATATATATATATATATATATATATTTTTAAAAAAAAGTAATTAAAAACAGTGAAATGTTATATTTTTTATTTTTTTTATGAGATATTTTATCACTGCTCACTGTACGTAGTAGTCATGCGCGAAATTGAAATTCCGTTACGATCAATTTTCGTGGTTCGACGATCAGACTCATCGAGAAACGCCCTTCCACTTCCAATAACGACTTAACCAAACTCCACCTCTTCATCTACGACTTTTCATCAATTGATGTTTTGTTTACTTTATATCTCACTATACACCTCAACATCTTGCTCTATATATTCGACGAGGTGGTTACCTAATATACATAATACAGATATATACATTATATTGTATATAGAGACACTCTTTGTTCTAAATATATATAGAGTCTGGAGTGTAGTGCAAAGCCCGTTTGAGAGAGTATGGTCAATTTATTCGTGGATAAAAGAATATCTTTTCTGAAAGGACTATTCTCTATGAGCGTCTACCGAGTCTGTAAGAGCTTGGTTAATCAAGTATTAAAATATGCATTTTTGCGCCTAGCCTACCAACCAACCTCCTAACGTAATAGACCAAAAAAGGATTTCCTTTCTTTTTTTTTTTTTTAACTCATCTTTATCTTTATCTCATCGTATTGTATTATTTTATTATCCTGTTTCATTTTAAATAATTATAATTTCTTCTCGACCAGAAGCGCTATTATACTTTATCTTCCGGATTAATATTTTATTCCATTAATTTACCTCACCGAGTTAATAACTTTTAATGTTATTATTTTATTTAATAGATAATAGACATTATATAGATTTAATGCACAGTTAAAAAGGACATAATCTTTTGTTCTTACAGGATCTACGGTTAATCGCTAAAGATCCTTTTATTTTGATCTTCTTTTTTATTTATCTGCTCAACTATTGGAGACTTTTTTCAACTTGGAGATATAAGGAGCAAAAAACTAAAGAAAGAGATAACAAAAATAACAAAAAAAAAAAAGTACAAGAGACAGAAAAGTCGTGATGAGACGTCGATATAAAACTATAAGAGGGATGAGGGATATATAGAAGTATCTGTATAGAAGTAAGAATAAGGAAGAACAAAAGGTGGTTATCAAGTCTGGAATCCTTATCCACTTGACGCGGTCATCCTTTTCTTTAATAATAATCTTTCTTTTTGTTAAAAAAAACTCTCGAAACTGTTGGACATTAACAAGAGTATAAGACTTCTCGTCAGTTGTCTCTTGTGTACCACTGCTGCATGAGAATAATCAACCGCGTACATTCATGTTTAGCAATGGCATTTTTCATTAGAACGAATTTACAATTCAGCTTTCTCAACTAGAACTTTTTTTTTTTATTTTTTTTTTTATCTCTTATACTCGACTACACTTTCTTCTCAGCAGCAATTGTGTCTCTTTCTCTTGGTCTGTTTAATTTTCTCTCTCTTTTCTTTTTTCTTTCATCACTATTCCGTTTCGATTTTCCTTCCTCAACTAACCACTTGTCGACAATTGAGTTTCTTTCAGATTTTCAGTCTCTCAACTCTACCCAGAAAATCCTCTAAGGAAGAAGTCTGCGGGCTCAACAAAATAACCATTCAGTTAACCTGACTTGTTGATAAAATCCTTAAATATAGTGATGATAGTAACAATAACAATAATAATAATAATAATAATAATAATAATAATAATAATAGTAAGTAACTGGTGTATGGAATATATGTTTAATATTATATAAGATTTCACTCAACGTGACTAAGTAACAGTGCTCACCTGACATTGATTATGTAGTGTGAAATTGGATTGTTGTGGGAATTCTCGCTTGGCGCCCATGAGATTGTTACAGAGCGTGATGTGAAGTTAGTGGCGATAGGACGTCCCGGCGGATCTGGTACATCTGCAAGAACAAACAGACACTAGATCATGTTACCTGTCTTTATTTTCATCACCTAATCTCTATTATTATAATTATTATTCTATTATTAATTATTTTATTATTATTATAAATATTTTAATCAACAGTCGAGAAATTAAATTTAAAAAATCTTTCATCAGGCATTATATTATATTATTATATTAAAATTCTCTAAAGCGGGTGATGAATTATTTTCATCATCGTTTAAATCCGGGATTATGCTTTATAGCTAAACGTGAATAAAATGCCGTTGATGAGTATATTTAAGCTGAAAAAACAATGAGTAAAATATAATACGGGCGTACGGGATCAAAATAATTGAGAGTCTTTTATTTTTATTTTTTTTTTTTTTTTTTCATCACCAAGAGTGGAAAATATTGTTGACGTAGATCAGGATAAAACATGCTGTGTTTTTTTTTTTAAGGATAAACCAGCTGAGGAGTTAAATACAATATTAAATATTGTTATCAGTAATGAGTGATGTATAATATACAATACAGTACAATGTATAAATGTTTAAGTTACATAAGATCTTAAATGAGAATAGAGGCCGAGTTAAGTCTCAATGGGACCTAAAGTAATAATCCTTTGGTCCTTTTTTGGCTTTCTGTTCTAGGAGTTGGGAACTAAACTCGGTTTAGTGTCCTGATGTAGTGTCAGTGACCACTTTCGCGTGTAGCTTCCATTTATGTCGCTCTAGTGACATATTCCCTAGAGAATAGATGTTTATGTATTACATGTACAACGCCATTGCCATCTGTATTATATCATGGCATAAGGATTTTGGTAATAAAGTTATTATTTTTAATTCTTATCACCAGAGTTTGGATTAAATTTCAACCCCAACTTATTTAATTTAATATTATCTCGTACATATACCGCTAAATTTAATTGTAAACTAATTAATCAATGAATTTAATTACAACTTGTATATAATAGTCATTATTTACTGTATCAGTAATATCATTTGATATTCAAAGTTTACCAAGTATTATTTATTGTTCCTCTATTCCTCTATATTAATCAACCCGAGTTGTAATTATATTTATAATTTAAAATGATAAAAAAAAAAAACATTTTAATTTAAATATTGTTAGAGTACCCACTGCCTAAATATAATGTATATATATACATATATTATGAGTTAATTTATATTCATTATTATACCAGAAGTAGTATATTGCTTTTGCTTAGCAACGAGCGGGTGTTTTATTTACGGTAGATAGACATTAAATTAAGTTTTATTGGTACAGATTGTGCTTTTTTATTTATGTAGTTATATTTTTTATTACACTTTCTGGGCATATAATTTAACGGTGAGAAAACAATGATTTATGAGCTAGAGTTTAAAGTGAATGTGAAGAGATGAGTCTGAGTGACAATGATGAAAATAAATTACCGGATGAAAATACTTGTTTTACTTAACAACTCGGATATTTTATTTTATTACTTTTAATTTATCTGTGAAAATTACTTGTTAATTTTTATTTTTATTTCTATTTTAACAAATTTAATCAAATTCATTTGTAACAATTATTTTTAACAGTACTATTAAGTATAAAATATTATGTTAAAAATAAAATTAAACTGTACTCTTAAAATAATGTCATTTCAGATAGATATCTGTAATAATTTATATTATTTCAGTATTTTATCGGAGAATTTATGGCGCTATTTAAAAATACCGCACAATTATTAAATAATAATATATTTATAAATACATTTAAAACAAGATATTTTATTTGAGTAACATCCAAATGAATTAATAATTACTTTCTTACTGTCAGAACAGCTAAAATTATTTAACCACTTGAATATTTAACTTAATATAAAAGATATTTAAAAGCTCAAGCCTGCTTTTATTTGATCAATAAAATATAATTTACAAATAATACGTATGTATATGTATATTAAGATTTAGTATACAACCCATGTCATCGGCAAAGACAACTCTTATCTCTCCTACCCTGTTTACACGACAGAGGTTGTTGTATTGAGGCTCAGGTGGTACAACACCAAATGGTAATTGAAATCTACGACACATTCACTTACGTACACATACATAAAATATCCAACCAGTAAATATCCATCTTTACTTTCTCATCAGAGCACTTCCAACCTCTTTCACAGTTTCTGTCATTCAGAGTAATAAATTAACCGGAACGAGAATTATAAAGCTCTTTTTTTTTTTTTTTTTATTTTTATTCCAACTTTTAAAAAAATGGAATAATAAATTGTTGAGTCTAAATAAAATACAATGGCTGGTAAAAAATGTGTCGATTATTATTTAACAATGAGTAATAAAGTAATAAAGACGTTAGGTATGTATATATATATATATTGCTTTTCACTCGGTTCAGATGTAGTAACGTCTAAGTGAATAGTTTCGCGCTATATGTATACTATAAGTACGTACAAAACAATTGCAGAGCATTAGTAAACTTGTAGGAAACAATTATAGTGAAACAAAAGATTCCTTTGTGGAACTCTGGTGGATGGATATTTGCCAAACGCTTTCGTCCAAGCTTCTCTCCAAAGTCCTAGATCTTCCATGCTAGATCCGACAACTGCTATGTATTTTTGTTTCAATCTGAGAAAATTACAATAACTAAAACACATAAACACATTCACTGTTCAGTTATGTACTTTAGTTTTTATAAGTTAAGAGAAAATTCTAATGTATTTTTAAGTTTACTCATGTTTTCTAAAATATTTCGACAGACTTTCACAAAGACGTTATAAAACTTAAAATTCGGAAATTTATGAGTCAAACTCAAGTAGTTGCCATTGTCAGATAATCCCTTTAATGACTTAGACTAACCTTCAACGCAAACGGATAAATTTTACAATCCATCTGTTCATCAGATGGCGACCAGACTTTTCCCAATTTAGCAATTTTCTCACACTTAGTTTAAACAACCTTTCTTTAAATAAATTATACCCTTTCCAGAATCCCTTTAGTTAACAACAATTCCCCAACTCCAGTTACTTTCCACCAATCAAAAATGTAAATACCCTTCCCAAAATTGCACTCTCTGACTGACGATAGTTGGACGAAAAATCGAATAAGACAGTTACCCAAAAACCTTTGACCACGCTCGCCGAGCGCCTTTGTTACTGACAAACCTCTGACCACGCTCGCCGAGCGTCTTATACCTGACCTTTACCGACTTTTGTACTGATTAAATTATTGTAAAAGTATAGTCAGTTCTCAATTTAATAAATCAATTACAAAAACGAAATATTTGTGATCTTTTTAATTAAACATCACAAAAATTCTTGTTAAATTATAACCAAATTAATTTGCAAGAAAACATTCACCTTTGTATACAATTTATTGATAGCGCCTTCAATTTAATTGCTTGTTAATAATTAATCAAAGCTCATGAATATTTATTCCGGTAATTAATTATTCTTTATTATTTTTATTTTATAATGTACATTGAGGCGGATAATAATAACAATTAATGTGAAATTTATCTCTCAATTCAGCCGTTTCATCAACTGACTAGATACCACATACTAGATATTATGTATTTAAATTTTGTATAACTTTGTAGTTAAGGCGCATTTAATTATACTGAGAAAATACCGAGAATCATCAAGGATCTGAGGTAAAGTATAATATTTTGTATTCTAATGGTAAGTTTACTCTCTCAATCGTTATATATACCTATAATATCCATGTATAAATTATCTGTGCATACGTATTGTACTGAGTTTGCATTAAATACGTGCATATTTAAGACTATATCACTCTGAATATTTTAACATTCTTTTAACTCTTCAGTGTATAAAATTTTTGATATTTAAATAAATCAAAAAAGTATTTTTTTAATGAATGTAATTATATTTTTCTCTTTGATTCACATTTTATTTTATTCAGAGATAAAAACTAAAAAAAATTAAACTAATAAATAAAATTTAATTGATGAAAAACTAAATAAAAAGTTGTATGAAATCAATTAAAAATCAAACTTTTTTCATTAGCGATTTACAAACTTTATTTTTATTTATTTCAATGTTTTATCACTTGTGCAGTAATTTAAATTAATTAATTATTTGCTGCCACTAAAGTTACTCGTTATTTTTTCATCGACTCATTTATGCTTCCGTTTGATTTCGAATTTATTATTATTATTATTATTATTATTATTATTATTATTATTATTATTGCATGAGTAAAAATATAAAATAAATGCATTACATAAAAATAAAATAATTATGAGTAGATAAGTAGTAATAATTATTTATAGGTAAATGGGGGATATGACAAAATTAAAATAAAATAACTGAATGATAAACAATAAATAGTAAATATGCAAATAATCCCAATGGATATCAGTATAGTGTGTATTGAGTTTAAATTTATGAGCAATTCGGGTAAAATTGATCATTTTGCAGACCATCGATAGTAATTACTAATTACCAAATTCCCATTCCATTCAATTCGATTTATCTATACACATATACATTGTTTTTATTGACTTTGCGAATTGTTTAATCAATAAATAAATATAATTATTTATTGTTAAATATTTTTAAAATGTACCTATATACATTTAGTTAAATAAAAATATAAAATATATAGAGAGTTTAATATGTATATCGGTGTTTCGAATGAAATTAAATCATCAATTTGACGGAAGAAGAATAGAAGAGAGGAATGTTTAATTGCAATCCAATTCCAATGCATTGGTGTTAATAATTACTTTGGTAGCAGATCGTGTTCGTTCATGTGTAGCGAGTCATCAAATTGGATCGTGCGTTACCTCATTTACTTGGTCCATTCACCTTTCAATGTTTCCAAAATGGCCACGCTCCGGTTATTTATTTATTTTCTTTACTCTAATACTATTCTATACGTTTTGACCTTTCGCTTCATTAATTTAATAATTTATTGTTTCGTCTAGCAGTAAAAATAATTTGTTAATTTTTCAACATATTTTATTTATAAGAATATTTGTCAACTAAAACTTTTATT